CGGTTATACGTTTGCATATCTAATGATTTTATATACATTATTACCGTGATTTCAAAGTTTTAAAACGTTTTCAAAATAATTCAGCTTAATTAAGAAAAAGGGAGATATTGCTTGTTGACACCGTTAATTTAATCACAAAAACACCATTTGACTGCGTCTGTTGATTAGAGATAATGAAAACAATGACGTGATTATTATACTCAATCCACAACACTTTACGTATCAAAATTATTACCCCAGAAAGACAGCCCTGAAAACTAAAAATTATTTAGTTATTACGGAAATAGCTCATTTACAATGCCCAGACCGGTTTACAGTTAAGCAAAACCCAAATGTGTTTGTATTTGATTTAGAAATTTTGTAAGTATCGTGTTCATAAAATTTAAAATGTCAGCCCTTGTACGTGGTCGGATGGCAATTTCAAGACGACTCGGAAATGATACTACTTGAATATAATTATAAAGTGAAAACAGAGTAAAACATGCAAAAGTTTGTTTTATCACATTTTGTTGAAACGAATGTAAAACTAGTACAATAACAATATAAAAATGGAGTATTTGTGAAGTATTATGACATTCATTATTCTCAATATAGCTCATTTATAAATACAACTGACTGAAAAAAGGTTACATAATAATGAACTGATAAGAGTCTAAACTTACGTTTTTCGTCACAGGTTTATTTAGGAGAAATGCTTTGATTATTGTCTTAAATAAGTGGTTTCCATATTTAAATTACCTTCCTTCAAGAACAGAATCATTACAACTAAAATGCATTTTGTGACTGATAATCCGTCAAGCGTTTCATGTTTGCTTTCAATGTTTCTTGTTTATAAATTGGTTTAAATAAAAAAAAAATTCTGACGTATTTATGCGATATCTCTCTTTTTTACTATCTCACACTGTAATGTCTAATCTCACACTGTAATGGAAGGGCTAACTTTTTTATAAATAATCTACGCTTATTAAACAGACATCTGAATGTCTTGAAGGTAATAAAATATGGATAGTGAGTGGAGAGTGGAAAAAGTTAACAATATTGTCTCGTAAGCCCTTACATTTTAACAAAATTCAGATTAGTTAAGGGATCTTCAATTAAATTAGTTACTTCCTTTTTAATGTCGAAAATTAGGAATTATTGCACCATATTTTAGTACACTAAACTTTAACACTTTTGACTTAGAGGACCAATGTTTTATGAAAGATAATAAGAACATAAAAAAAGTATTAAGAACAAGCTGGTTCAATTTAAATGATTCTAGCAAGGGTAAAAACCAAATAATACATGTACAATTTATATTAAATACTGAATCTATGATATCCGTCATCATCTTAAAATTAATTTTATAATAAGTAACAACAAATTTTACTGTGGTTTATCAATCTGAAATAGTTTTTTCCACGAGTCAAAGTTAGTCTAGAAGTTTTTATCATATACTTGTTTTGCATTAAGTTTGGAACTATACAGAATTAATTTTATTTGTTTCATGATTGAAAAAAAAACACTAGCAGCAAAATGTCGGACTGCATTGTAATAACATAACTTGCTTCTGACTAAGGCCAGTCAATTATGCAATAATAGCTCAACGTGGGATTAGTAAAATGTAAAAACTATCTGGCCATTTTCATAAAATTGAAAGTGGTCCTATGCAACATCAAGATGAGGCGTAATGTGTACGTGACAGTTGATTTCGGACAATAAGTCTAATGATCATTTGTCTATCACCGCTGATTCAGAAAATATGAGGGATAAGTAGACGGCCATTTGCTGAGAAATTCGTAATTACTGGTTACGTTGATATTGACAATTCTCTTCGCGTACGTACTACTTTTAATTTCCATTCATGCAGAATAGTTATAAACTGTACTTTTGAAGACATCATAGTAATTTAAAAAAGTCGACCACGATCACTAACTTCAGTTAATCAGAAGTGGTTCTTAGTAACGTTGTACATTTATACGCTTATTATTTCATTCCGACCAGATATTGGGGAAAATAATTTTTTTATGAATTTATGTCGGAAAATCTTGTTTCAATAACTCAAAATGAGCGTTAGCATGAAATCGCTTTCTTATTAAGTAAATATAACAATGCATATGTTATATATGATTGAATCAATGATCTCACTGTTTTTGCTGATTTTTGCTTATCACTAGGTAAGCATAAGCAGCACATAACACGATTCCGATTTATTTCTCTAGGATTCCTAAGAGAATTAAATAGCGATAAGCGCGTCAGCATGCTTTTCCTTTTCATAAATATCACAGCGTTATTTTCTAGTACATCAATTTGTGCAATGTTTATTTGTAATCCTAAAAGAACAAATCTGATGTTTAATATATTCTTTACCTGATAAATTGATGTTTTTTTTATCGAAATAGACATAAGCCAAAACAAATGCAGTGCTACAACAAATGTGAATATTTGTTTGTAGAAATTGAATGTAACATATGCTTAGATTTCAACTAATAACGAATATTCCCTGCCAGAAAATATATTAATATGGTTCACGGGGGAGGAAGTGTTACACGAAGGATGGAGTTCTTATGATAACTTGTTTGGAGTTCTTATGATAACTGTCAAGATCAAAACCAACGTTATATGACCAAATTTTTGTGCAAATGATAAGCGTACTATGCTTCATAATGATTTACACACCTATTGACTAATAAAATACGCTTAAACGTGCCGTGATTAAGCACAAAAACACACTGGCAGTAACAAAAGTTATCATAAGAATATTTTGAGTTATCGCAAGAACTCCGTAACATTTGAAAAACCGGGTATACATTTATCAGCCCGGGATTTATGTTTGCAACTCTCCATAATAATTAGGTGATTATGTATAGCAACGAAGAAGATCACAAATGAAAAGGTCAATATGTACGAATTAGCAAGTAATCTGGCAATTTTCTCAAAACTACCAGATTTTTTTAAAAGGCGACAAAATATGGACTAAAAGATTTTTTCTGAAACATAATACAATATGTAGGGCAAGCTTAATTATCAAAGTTAAATTAAGCACCTCAAACTCCCCATTTAAAGTTAAAAATAACCATTTTTACGCGAGTTCTCCAAGTATATAGAAAAAGTTTTCCACAGAAATCCGTAACGTTTTCCAGGAACTCCGTGACAGTTATCATAAGAACTTCAAACAAGTTATCATAAGAACTCCATCCTTCGTGTAACACTTCCTCTCCCGTGTGGTTGGAACGTTTTTTTCAAAGATGGATGAAGTTTGAATCAAATACATTAATGCAATATCAAAATGTATAGAGAGTATAAAAATAAGTTAGATATATTTTCGAATTTAAACTTCTAAAACAAATGTCTAAAGATAACATAAAAGGACGCACGTGTATACATTTATTTTTTAAGAATTCGATTGTTGCGAATGGACAACGTACATAATGTAATGCGAATTAAGTAAATTCACTTTCAACAAAGTAACATTATTATAATTGTTATTTACTAAACAATTATTGTATGTATATATGATGAATACCCAAGTCTATGAACCTTCCTAATGTGATATTCACTGAGTAAAAAACACATTAGCAAGGTTCATTGACTTTGATATTCGCCGGATTCTTAGCAAATAAACAACTCCTGTACTTTATGTCCGCTTTTGTTGGCTTGATTTAATGATAACAACATCGGAAAAAAGTTTGCAAAATGAATAATCTTATTTACCGATCGTAGCACGGGAAAAAAGAGTAATATAAAGTCACTTGATGGAAACGATATTGTACTTGTGTCATAACAATGCAAAGATGGCGTAATGTTCATTATTCAAAAGTCAGTAAAGTGTATATGCGCGATAATGTTAGCGCATAACAACGAAAAGAGTTATTTTTTAACCGTTAACAGTCTTATTTTGAAAATGTGGCAATTACAATATTATATTCAATATAAACTGAACTGGTTAATAAAACAATTTAATGGTCTTCTTTTCAAATAATTTGCTATTCATTGTTCTGTATATATAGTATACAGGGTCGCATCTAGATATATTCACCTCACCAGTTACTAGCCTATCTAAATGTTTAATGGGTTAAAGTTACATCTTAATTTCACAGCCATTAGTAATTAGCATCAATCAGTTAGAGTGGGTATATTATATCGTGACCGAGCATTGACAGTTACGAAGAGGATTGAAATGTTCGCTAGAAATAAACGATCTGATATCAATTTGTTTTTGCTTAAAACTTCTTTTCAATTAACTGTGTAACTGATAAGTCATTTTTGACATTTTCATATTTGTTATAGCAATTATTAAAAGACGTGGTATATTCTAGAAAACGGAATTTCATTAAATAAAATTCACATTCTGGCTTGTAACTGATGGTTGTGAAAGGTTGTGATGACAAACAATCGGTAAAGTATGTTACACAGATGTTGACTTCCATGTACATTTAGACTTTCATAGTAGTTTGTAAAGTCATTTGTACTGCGCATTTAACGTTTATCATAAAAGTTTATAACTATAAATATGTCTTACACATTTCATTAAATAACACATTTATCTTATCTGGATGAACAATTCAATATTTTTAAATGTGGATATGACGCAGCCTTTAAACGGATAAAATCTACATGACCCATTACGATTATACCGATCAATAATGATGTAAATAAAACATACATTGTGAGTATACCACAATTATCTAGTCTCACTGCTGGTGTTTCTACACTTTTACTTAATTATAATTCAATGTGGAATGTTGATAGAACTACTTGGAAAATATTGCGAGTGTATGATTAAAACGTAGTTTATTAAGATTTTCAATATATGTGTTTAACATTACAAAATGGCGACAATGGTTAATTATTAATACGAGAATATTAACAGACAACGCATCCGATAGTGAATAATGGAGAGGCTGGCGATTTGATCGTTTAGGATTTAATTATGAATTCTAAAAAAGGTGCTTATTTGGATGGTTCTTGGCAAGTTCATTATGTATAATATTTCAGATTTTATTTTATCTGTTCTCGTAGCATTCATTGGCATTTGTTAATTTCATTATATTTATTTATTGGAACCTGTTCTAAATTAAAACTTAATTTTGAGTTATTTTCTGACGTATTTGTATATAAACGTTTACACAGTATAGGTCATTTGGCGACCTTCCAGCTTTTACTGGTGGAGGAAGACCTCAGATGCCCCTCCGTGCATTATTTCAGGCACGAACGGGCACCTGAGTAGAACCACCGATGTTCCGTAAGCTAGCTGGATAGCTTCCTCACATGAAAGAATCCAAAGTCCCTGTCGGGATTCGAACCCACAGCGGTTAGGGGCAAGTGGTTTGAAATCAACGACCTTAACCACTCGGCCACGGACGCCCCCTCAGAATGGTTTTGCATTGTATAGATGCTAACACATAATCAACAGAAATAAGGAATGCATGTTGATGAAAACATTTAATCTATAAATCACATAAAAAACAAATGTGAGGAAATTGATATTGAACCATTGTGTCTATGTATAGATCTTTCCAAGATACATGTATTTCAATTCGATTATCTAAAATACCTCCATGCATGCAGTGTAACGTTTTCTATTAATAAACGAATAATAATATAATGTCTGAATAATTCAGTTTTCTGTCATTAACATGTTATAAAAATAGCGATGTTTGTAGAATACATTATACATTTGTGTCTAGTTTATTAGCATAAGAGGTTATTAGCATAAGAGGAATATAAATATAGAAAAGTCTCAAACAAAATATATGAATGCAGTGTTTACACCTAATACCTGGTCGGAATAAGTGATTGAATACATATTCTATCTTTTGTACATGCTTTCTATATTGCAGGAGTGAGATTCCAATTAATCAAAGGATTTTGTCATCTTGGTGAAAAAATATAGAGAAAAGTAAAATACGTTAAAAAGGATATGAGAAATTGATTAAGTCAAAGAGGAACAACTTATTAAAAAAATAGGCAAACGCATTTCACATCTACACTCATACAAAAAATACTAAGTTTAAGAGTGGAGGAAGAAAATGCTTATTTCTGGAGAGGAAATCACTTGAGGATAATTAGATCATTTTAAAACCACAAAATTTTTACATTAATACGGAAAAGGCTTGTTAACATGTGACATAATTAAGTTGAATTGGTAAATAATCTACATGTAACATTCAATTACAGATATTATTCTGAGTTTATATCTGTATGAAAAAATATGTTTTATATAACACGGATATGAATATAATGAATTAAATCTGGATGTTAGATAAACTTTGTTAAAAGTATTAGTTGAACGAATTTTAAATATGTCTGGTTTATCAGGTATCGGTATATTTTGGGCGTTTTCATCTTTTATTTCATCTGTCATATTATGTATTGGATATTTTGTGCCTTACTGGTTGACTGGAAAGTTACTAATTCAGCTTAGAGGAAAATCAGAACAAACCGTGCCTGTACATTTCGGTATATTCCGTAGGTGTAATTATCCAACAATCGATTCCAATAAGGAACTTTCTATTGTACTGGAATGTGGTAGATACACGACTTTCATGGACATTCCGAGTGTGTCATGGCAGATAGCTACTCTTGTAGTTGGGCTTGGATGTTCGATCTGCCTTCTTGTATCACTGACAGCTATGTTTGGTGTTTGTGTTAAAGGTGTTGTTATTCCAACGGTGGCACGGACGGCTGGAGTTCTTCAAATGTGTTCAGGTTTGTCAACTTTTATGATTCCTGACAAATTGAAACACCAATCAAATCAAATCAAAAACTTGAACGTTAACAATGAGAAAGAACAAAAAAAATACTAAAAGGTCCAAGTCATGGTTAAGTGAACTGGCCTTTAATGGAAGGTCCGTTATTCAATAAATAATTACAAAGATGGTATTTAGTATAAGATATACCACCAAACCATGAAACAATATGTATGTTTGATGTTGGTAAGTATGAGATACATGATCCGATATTACATATTTTATATACTTTAGCAAATGATAAAGTGTTTCAGAACAATATATCATTTTCATTAAATAAACATTTATAGTAAATCACTTAGAACTTTTTGTTTTTTTCAAGCAATATGTCATAAAAATATCCAAATGATACATTTCTATTGTTTTTATCGACATTTTGAATACTAATGGAAAATATGCCCATTGTAGACCGACCAGTCCACTTTAAAAAGGTAAATATTATTCTCATTCTCATTGGTATAGCATTTTCTTAAAAAAAGTAAAAGTAATATCCAGAGTTTATAAGTTATATACCATAAATAAATGACTAAATCGAACATATTGTGTCTAAAGTACTGAGATAAAAAAAGAACAACTTTATAATATAATGTTTTATCATATAACCTGCAATTTTGAAATGTGCCACACTTAATCAATTGAAACATATGTCAAAGTGGCCACAGCTATGTCATTTATTTCTTCATCTGTTTCATCTGGTATTAAAAATAAAATAAGGTTATTTCACTAGTATTTTGAATTGGAATTTGTATTTAAGTCGAATAGTATTTTGGTTTACCAGCATCTTACAAGGCGCAGGTGAGGGACATCAATAAAACCTAGAATTTACTATTTGGAAACGAATTTATATAATGTAACAACGATTCTACGGCAAAAATTATTTCATTTAATCTAAACGCTTACAGCAGCCATTGAAAATAAAAAAGTTGCATTATCAGATAAAATTGATAGTACTAAAGATAGGACCTCATACAGCTTGAGGTAAACATATCTTACATTTGAAGAGTTGGAATGCAAACAACAGATATCAAGCACCTGTTTATATTCTTAAAATGACTTTTGAGTTTATTATCTTTCTTAATCTCTTATAACGTAAATTCTTTTCATAAAGGTAAACGGTGAATTAAAATGTAATTTGAGACAACACAATTATAGATATAGAGGATATTTGTTTGTGTGTAAGATGAAATTTTGTTTCATCAAGTGGGCTTTAAAAACAGTATTTTCACGAGTGGCATAGCCACTCGTGAGAATACTGTTTTTAAAGTTCACGAGATGAAATAAAATTACATTTTACACAACAAACAAACAAATTTTCTTTTTATTTTGTGCCTAAAAAAACAAGTTAAAACGAAATTTCTTTGATATTAACTTTAATATAAAAATCTGTTTTCCCCACTGGTAGCCTCTATTGTGTGCACGTATTAGTGGAATTTCTCATAAAAACAAGAAGTATTGGGCTGAAAAAAAAAAGAGTTCGACAATCAACGTTAAATGGCGATGATATTATTCATTTTATTCAAATAATATGAATTATCGATTGTTTTAATAAAAAACCCAAACAATTCTAGTATTATCTACTAAGAGAAAAAGTCAAACCATTTATCCATATCTCGGTTACTTACGGCGAATTAATATTAGACCTGGCTCTGTGAAATGTAAGCGGCCGCCATTTTTAAAAAATGTGTATTTCACTGGAGGAAATAATTGTGTTTGATTCAGAGGGATATCATTTGGATTTGTTAGTGATACATCTTTTAAGAAGAAAGAAAACTTATTTGAAGTGTTGACAGATGTGTAAACATTCAAAAAAGCGGCTAGGATATTGGAAAACATGGAATTTTTTAAAGGCTGCCTTAAGAACGCTGGGTTGTTTACTTATTCGTCGGGCTGATGTCTGTCATTGCTTTTCAAGTGATTAGGCAGTTATTGCTCGTAGGATACTTAAATATGCCCAAATGTCATCAAGAGAAGTTTTGCATGTGGAAGGAAATGTATTTTACAGACTGTGAAAATGAAACAAAAATTTAGAGACGATATTTGGTGATTGGTAATATGAATGAATAGAAGTAAGTTTTCTTCTTTTTATTACTTTTGAAATTTCAGCTATTTATCAATTTCAGCTTTGCTTTTCTCTAAACAGCCCTATTATGTCAGAATTGTCAACGATAAGAAAATTGAGGTACCGCAATAGGAAAATCTTAAAAAAGGTAGTCTCATTATTGCAAAGTGTGGAATTATATTTTGATAATTTTCACTGTGAAATTATCAAATGTAATTTTCACTGATAAATCAGTAATCCACTGAACAGCATAAAATAAACACAGTTAACTAGCTGTAAAAGAATGAAAATGAAAAAAATGATGTTAGAATGAACCTTTTCCAAAACTTACAAATAATTAGATTACATTTCCCATTGTCACATATTTCTCCCACTATGTCTCTGTCGACTATAAGTTGTTTGCCTTATTTCCTACACCTTCATGAGTGTGAAATAAACGTCTCTTTTTGCATGAGCAACACTGGTCTTTTGTTAAAGCTTAATCATTAAATACTAATTGTTATAGATTGGAATATCAGTGTTTGGTTTATCAATATATTTTATCTTAGTTTTATGTCTCTCACATGTCAGAGGAATCAGGGAAATAAAACTGAAACTGTGTAACATTATAAACTCAAATCACCCTCTCATAAACCGCTGTAAAATGTGATCACTGTTTCTATTTCAGGTCTGTTAATAGGTACGGGTGTTGGCATATATCCCAAAGGTTGGGACAGCCCGGAAGTGAAACAGGCGTGTGGCAACACGTCTAAATCTTACTATTATGGTAAAAACTTTTTCTACATCTTCGAGATAATTAAGAAGATTATTAATCCCGTTTTCAAGATAATGCGTTATTGTGTTTACATGGGTTAAAATAGTGCTTTCTATATTAAACAATAAAGTGTATCACGTATATTTTTGAACTTATTTTTCAAACAAATCAATAAAACATGAACAGAGCAATGAACAGATAAATGCGGCATTGAGACTTGAGATTTAAAGAGAAGTTTTAATTTGTCAATCTCGTTTCAGGTGACTGTACGTTATCTTGGTGTTTCTATATAACATGTGCTGGTATAGGTGTAACCTTGATATGTTCAGCTCTCGCTTTTCACTCTCCCAAACGGAAACACGTCGTTCATGGTTATGCAATTTAGACTATTACCTGAAGTATCACCATAATAGGCCAAAGAGGAAACTGTGAAAGTAGTCAGAAACAGACAAATTGAAAATGTTTTGCTCGGTTTGATTGAAGGTTCAGATATATACAATGGTGAAGAAAAAACAAAAATTGTGCATTGATTTTATTGTTGATAAATTTGTACGCCCAAAAAAACTGTTTTAAAAAAAATAATTATTTATTTGTCCCCGAAAAAAGAGGAAAACAGAATCAATCCTTACTTTCTTGTTCTAAGAAACTAAGAGGAATAAAGCCTTCACAATTACACAACCGTAACATAATGATAAACAACATATATGTCGGAAAGAGCAAAGGTAATTTTACAGACATTTAGTTCCGGGACAGAGAACTACTAAGAGAATGATATGTGATGTTAAATTACGAGTGTGAATAAACAACATAAGCCTAATGTATAATTTCTGCCAATATTTATTCAGACACGCTGAAGAGTTTCGATAGCTAAGTTTGTGAATCAAGATTGAATATGCACGTATATATTTGTCAATGAATCTGGTTTAGTGACAGAAGAGTCTGATTGTTTGTTTGTTTCCATATTTGTACAAACAATACTACACATGTGTATTTAATAAATTAAGTAAAATTAGTATCGAAATTGTTTGTAAATATCTCTGCTTGGTTTTGATAATAAATTAATGAAGTCATCTGTTTTACGATACTGATGCGAAGCAAATTCTTACAGAGAATACGCACATTATTTTAGAAAGGATGTTCCCTTAAGAGCAACGAGGACAATAAGCTTAACGTTAATGCAGTTATGGTGAAAATATCAGTTTCATTTAATGTTTTATAGAATCATATATTTAGTTTTTAAACTTCCGGACTAAAAAACACTTTTTTGTATTAAGCAGACATCAATCTAGAAAAAATGAGAATGAGAGTTTCAAAAATATGATTTTCTAATGTAAGATATGCATGGTAATGACATTTTATATCTATTGATTTTATGTACGTTATTACCGTGATTTCAACCTTTTAAAACGTTTTCAAAATTTTACAACTGCATTAAATTCTTAAAGATATACTATGCTCAAATTTGATATCAGAAAATATTGATAATTGCTGCACAGTCTCTTTGTAAATATGAAATAAACATGTTTTGACTTTACACAAAGTTGATATGTCATGTTTAAAACTCTACACACTACAGGTCGTCACAATATGAATATATAGTGTCGTTAAAAAAACTGGCAGTTTTTTTAAGGAAAGACCAACTTTACCTGTCCTATAATAGAGAACGTGACTTCCAATGCATTGTTTTTCAAATTTGACATATTCAGTAAGAATTACATAGGTTGTAATTAATTTCTTCGATTAACATATTTTACTCAAAGATGAGCATAGTATATCTAAAATTGCTTTTGAACACTGTTGATTCAATCTCAAAAAAATATTTGTTAATTACGCAAATACATATTAATGATGCCAAGGCTTGTTTACAGTTAGGCAACAAATAAAATGTCTTTGTTTTTGATTAGGAAATTGTGTAAGTAAAGTGTTCATAAACTGTAATTGTCAGCCCTTGTATGGTTGAATGGCATATTTAAGAAGGCTCGGAAATGCTTAAAGTTGTACAAAATTAAAATTTGAAACAAAGAAAAACTGTTACAATAAGATGCAAAAGTTTGTTTTACCACATTTTGTTAAAATAAATGTAAAACTAGTACAATAATAATATAAAAATGAATATTTATGAAGTACTATGACATTCATTTTCGTTTTTTTTCTACAAAATGCTTATTTTAAATGCAACTGACTGAATTATTTCTTAATGAATGAACTGATAAGAGACTAAACAAACGTTATTTAAGGACTATTTTTATTATCTTAAATAAGTTGGTCATTTTATTTACGCTACATTTTGTCCTCCCTTCAAGATCTGAATCATTTCAAATAAAGGCAATTGAACAATCTGTTTCATTAGCTTAGTTTTATTTCAGATATTCTATTAGCTCTTTCACGCAAAAATAGTACTTTCTGAAGACATTATAATATTAAGTAAGGACTGCAAAAACGAGAGATATCGCAGCAAGACCAGAAAAATATAACAACCATGTAAAACTAAAATAAAAACTATGTTAATTACGCAAATAGCTCATTAGTTATGCCCATGCTGGTTTACAGTTAAGCAAAACGTAAATGTCTTTGTATTTGATTAAAACTTTTCCAAGTACATGTATCGTGTTCATAAACTATAATTGTCAGCCTTTGTACCTGAATGAATGGCAATTCCAAGAAGGCTCGGAAAACCTAATTTTACTTTAACATAATTATAGTGTGAAACAAGAGTGAAACAATAAGATGAGAAAGTTTTTTATCACATTTTGTTGAAATGAATGTAAAACAATTACAATTATAATATAAAATGGAGTATTTGTGAAGTATTATGACATTCATTTTTTTTTCTTAACATAGCTTATTTTTAATTAAAAGTAACTTAATGATGAACTGATAAGAGACTTAACGTACGCTTTTCGTCACATGTTATTTTAGGAAAAACACTACGTGCATTGTCTTAATTTTTTAATAAATTTCAGAAACTAACTAAAGGTAAAAGTAGTTTCTTTAAACAAAAACAACTTTTTGATTACTTTATGTAACTATAGGGATATATTAAGCTATATTTTAATGCATATTTTATATAAAACTGATTGGAACATTGTATGTGTGTATTACTTTGAGTTCAAATTTAAAAAATAATTACAATAATTACAAACACTTAAGCATTTAATATAAAACTGATGACACAATTGTAATAAAATATTTCGGAAGTTTGTTAAACATAAATATCACAGATTCTTATTAAATAATAAAATATAATAACTAAAAACAAAATCTAAAACTCTTTCTTTCCTATGACTAGATATCAATTTACCAGTTAAATATAACGTGACGACGTAAGTGGAAGCATGTATAGAGTAGTGTGCAATAACCTCGGATTGCCCATGAAAGCCCGAAGGCTTATTTCCAATGGGGTCCTTTGATATATACTTACTTCAAGCAAAATAAGAACTTTTAGAAAAAAATTTTTGTGGGGGGGGACAGTTAAAAAACAAATATCTTAAAACGTCAGATAAATTTTGAGTTGATGAATCAAATTCTAACACAAAAAACCCAATTTAAGAAAAAATTTAAAAGTTGTCAGATTACAGCCACAAATGCTAATTTTTTTCTGTACCATCGTTTCAATGAATGAATTATTGATGTTCAATTTTGTTTTTACTGTGATCATACACATAAAATTCATTGAAACAGTTTCATTCACCAATTAAAGTAAATCGCGGAATTTTTATAACATACCTGTTTTGAATAAGATTTGTTCATCGTGAAATTTATTTCTTTCATGATCAAATACAAACAATGCGGAGAAAAAATACCAAACAATTCTGATTATCATTTTTTTAAGAATAGTAAATGATCAGTGAATCCGGCTAAATGAAGACACAGTAAGATAACGATAAACAAATCTTGTAATGCTTTGAGATTAGGAAAATGTTCGAGTATATATCTATGTTTCCCTTCCTTTGCTAAAGAAGTCAGACATTTATTTCCTGAACCGAGTAATGCCTAATGAAAAATGTTTATTGTAGTACATGTACAAAGAACATTAGCCAATCAATATTTATTCAGACATTCTAAAGAGTTTCGATAAAAGTAAGTCCTGGAATCTGGATTTAATATATTCACGTAGGTAAACGTCAATAAATATGTTTTAGTGACGGAGAATATTTTTAATTTATGGTCCTTTGCATTTTTATGGATATATGTCTTTTTGATCATCAAATCATCAAAAATATTGTTTCATTATATATTTGTATCAGCAAATATTGTTTCCAGGCGTAAATATGTATATTACTTTAACTTTTAGTTATTAAACAATTTCAGCTTTGGTTTGCTTCAAACTTGCCTAATTATGTCTGATCTATACGCGAAAATGTGTGATATTGATACATCCCGTATTTCAAACAATCCATTTTTGGAACTAGGTCAACTCAAGTTTAATCAAGATTTTAGAAAGTATAGGGAGTTTCATCATACAATTCGAAGGGAAATCATTTTTATACTCACTTTTTCATTACTCTGAACTAATATTGCCTTTTGTTTGTTTGTTTCATTTTACGCCTTTTTCCAACAGTATTTCAGTCATTTAGTCGGGTAGTTTCCTAACCATCGTTCCTGGAGAGTTACACCAGTACTTGACAATCTTCCTCCGCGCTTAACTACCAAAGCATCTCGCGGGGATCGAACCCACGCCAAGTGGTAACTGGATTAGAAGTCATTGCCTTGACAGTATTGTCTCATCTTTAATAATTGCAAATTTTAATTGTTTGAAAAGCGCATCACTCTCTGGAGGCAGCCATGTTTTCAAATTGCATTATGGGTAGTTACTTATGACAACTATATAGAATAGTGTCAGACTCTGAAGTTGTCAAACGATTTAATAAGTAAATTATCCACAGATAAGCTGCAGATCAGAGATACCAAGGTGTCAGTCATGTCATTTAGGGTTTTATCTTTTGATTTATGTTATTTTTTTTGAGAAACTTTAATTCATTTTTCCGATTTAAAGTTAGTTTTTCTTGTACTACCCAAGGCTGTTCTATTTACACTTTATTGAGTTGTGTTCATTTTGCATACAATTTTAGGTTGTGTTCAGAGTTTCATTGAGTGCACACAGTCAGTCTGTGTGTGCACACATAATTTTAGTGTGCAGCTGAGGAGTATATAAGCTCCTGTAAATTCAGCCAATGCAAGTTTCTGAGATCTTGAGCTTCAGCTTGGGTTTTGAAAGTAAACATTTTTCTACATTGTAAGTTAACTTATTGTTTTTTTCTGGGTTTATTTTTTTGCATTTATGAAAAGACCTTTTATCAGTCATTTAACAGTAAAAATTATCATTTGAAATAAGGAATTTATTGTTTAAAATAAGGCTTGTTGACAGATATATTTGAGTTTTGAGCTTAATTACACTAAACTACTTTAACACATAAATTATATGAATGTTTTAAGGCTAATATAATGACATTTTTTGAAAAACTTTAAACGTTCTGTAATTAGCCTAATAAAAAAGGAACAAGTAAAATTACTCGAGAGCACCGAAAACAAAAGCACAAGAAGGTGCCTCATTTCTTATGCTCACTTGAGTCAGATTGAGCAATATTTTACACTCAACACTAAACGTATTCGAATTGATGACCCCGAAAGACCAGAAATTATAGCAATATGGAGACAGCGTCCGGTTTTCCATTTTCGATTAACAGACTGACGTTGAGAAAATTAATTAAATGTATGTACATATTCAATAAGTATATGAACATTTGACATAAGAAAATGGAATCCTAAAAATCTCCTCATGGACGGTTGGTGTAGTTGCTATCTACCTTTCTACAACCCTTTACACTGACCCAAACATACTTCAACAGTTAAACATGAAGGTGGTGAAATTAACATTAAGAATTATCTTCAGATATGTTAAAAACAAAACAAAAAACACAACAAATAACTTGATGAGGTTGAAATACTTTGGTTATCACATTTGTATAATTTGTCCAATAATATTATTAAATGAAGAACTTTCAATGTATCTTA